AAGCGGGTTGCAATTATTAAGTGCAAGGGACATCAGAAAACAGAGACTCGGATAAACACAGGTAATAATGCAGCAGATCTGGCTGCCAAGTTAGCAGCTGGTTATCAGGTAGCTCAAGGAGCTATAAAAGGGATCCAAGACCTACGGGGTCAGAGCTTTGAGAGCTCAGTTATGAAAGGGATCCAAGACCTAAGGGGTCAGAGGTTAACGAGCCTAAAACAGGCACTCAGGACCCAGAAGGTCCAGCTCAGGGAGCTAAACAGATGAGTCAAGACCCTGCAGAAGGGTCACGTTTGTGAGACAGAGTTGAGCTTGCAGACTATTAGGGAAATACAGAATAAAGCTGCTCCTACTGAAAAGCAGGCATGGCTAGGCAAAGGGGCATCTAAGGATCGGACAGGACTGTGTGCCACTGGAGGAGAAAAGGTTTTGTGACTTCAACTGGCTATCTGGTAAAACACTTGCAGCAGTTACTGGAACTAGAGCAAGCATTGTTGCTACCAAAGCAGGTGGCAATTATTAAGTGCAAGGGACATCAGAGAACAGAGACTCAGATAAACAGAGGTAATAATGCAGCAGATCTGGCTGTAAAGGTAGCAGCCGGTTATCAAGTAGCTCAGGGAGCTATGAAAGGGATCCAGACCTAAGGGGTCAGAGGTTAACGAGCCTAGAACAGGCACTCAGGACCCAGAAGGTCCAGCTCAGGGAGCTAAACAGATGAGTCAAGACCCTGCAGAAGGGTCACGTTTGTGAGACAGAGTTGAGCTTGCAGACTATTAGGGAAATACAGAATAAAGCTGCTCCTACTGAAAAGCAGGCATGGCTAGGCAAAGGGGCATCTAAGGATCGGACAGGACTGTGGAGAAACCACGAAGGTAAAATAGTATCCCCGGCAGGACTACTTAGTTTGCTGTGTCAAGAGGTGCACAGTAGAGGACACTGTGCGAGCTCCAAGATAAATAGTCTGATCTCTTAAAACTGGTGGCATCCACATTTGAGGGACATCACCAAGTACTTTGTTGCAACATGTGAGACATGTAATCAGTTCAACCCCAGAGACATGCTGAAATAATCAAGTGGCTCACTAGGTAAGTGACTCCCCCGGTTTGGGGTACCTGAGATTATCTGATAATGGAACATACTTCTCAAATGATGATCTACGTCTGATTGAGCAGATGAATGTCACTTTCGGCTTTTCCCATTTGGGGGTCGCCACAGCTAATCGTCACACTGACGACTTGCATGTTGACATTTGGCACGGGTTTTATGCAAGATGCCCTTCTGATGCAACCCTGATTCAAACCCAGGGCGCAGCGGTGAAAGTACTGTGCCTTAACCACTAGCCTACCAGGGACGGCCTGTCTGGTTGAGCAGATGTTTGGGATAAAACATAAGTTTGGGGCTGTTTGTCATGCAGCCTCTCAAGGGCTTGTTGAGCGTGCAAACAGAACTATAAAAGAAGGGCTCGCGAAAGTCTGCACAGACACTAACCTTACCTGGGTTGAAGCTCTACCTATCGTATTGTTCAACTTTGGAGGTCCACTCCAAATGCGACGCTTAATGTAAGCCCACATGAAATCCTGACAGGGAGAAAAATGCCCTGTCCTTTAACTGTTATGCCTAGAGATTTAATACCTCTTCTTTTACAGCATGCTGACATGAGTGAGTATGTCAGATGACTGAACAACGCTGTGATGAGTGTCTTTGAGCAGGTTATTGAAATCCTGAGCAGGGACCAACCTGAGGAACCAACACCAGCTGCAGTGGACAGCTGGCTCTATTGAAAGGTGCATAAACTTCACCGGTCAGAGCCACATTGGAAAGGACCCTACAGGGTAGCAGAAGCTACCACACACTTGTGTTAAACTGTGGCTCACTGAAAACAAGCTAAGTAACTGGATCCATAAGACACATTGTTCTCCAGCTGAGGATCCAGCTGGATGGACAGTGAATGGGGTCAAGGCTGGTTTAAGAACCTCATTACCTGAGTCGATATACACAATCCTGTAGAACCAGAGCCACAGTTAGAAGAGGACCTACACCAGTGTAATATTTATTAGAGAACATTGACAGGGACAGCAGACAAAATGCCTAGTCTGACAAGTTTAGGCAGTTGTCCTGGTGTGGTTCTCTGTGTACTGGGTCTCATTAGCTTAGTTATAGTGGTACCCATATTGTGGAGGGAAACAAGGTTCCGCATACACCGTGAGAAAAGAGCTAATGTCCTGATTCCACCCGAGTTGGTTTTTAATTTGAGTAAAACTTTCACTTTAATGATAGGTGATTGACATTCTTGACTGCTCTGTGTGGCCACAGCAAGAGCAATTAAGACAGTCTGATAAATACATTTGTATACTGTCTTATGTCTAGCTTAATGTTCAGTGTCTTACTAATCTGACTAATCTTATCAGAGATTTAGTTGTTGGGTTTCAGGAGTAACTGGCAGCCACTTCTCTTATGTCGTATCAGAACGGATTGGCATTAGACTTCATTCTGACTGAAAAAGGGGGCGTTTGTACTCTGATTGGGCAACAGTGTTGTACTTATATTCCTTATAGCACTGCTCCTGATGGCTCCATTGCTAGGGCCCTGATAGGGTTAAAAATTTATCAGAAGAGATGGCTGGCCATTCAGAAATTAAAAATTACATAGATGATTGGTTTGTTAAAATTTTGTGGAAAAATGGTTTCTTTGCTTACATCTTTTGTGGCCGCAGTTACTTTGCTGACCTTGTGTGGATGCACTGCATCCCCTGCATTAGGCATATTGCACTAAAGTGTATCAACACTGCCACTGATAATAGATATCCCAGTATCTATGGGAAACTATGCCAAGGATCTCAATCACGGAGCCTGGTGAGTTTGAGATTGAAGAGGACCCCTTCGACAGGGAAGAAGACCGTGATCTCCCTACATATTATTGCTAAGGGTTAATACATATCCACATATATTCTTGCATACACGTAGGTGGTGTGGACTCATAGGTGTGTGATTGATTTTGATTATTGAGTAGATATAAAGGTATATAAGGTATCAAGGTATAAAAAGTAACTAAAGCTTATAAAATCCAAATATTATAAAAGACAAATTAGACACTCTCTGCCAGAAAGAGCAGAATAAGGAGCAGAGGGGTCAACACTTCTTTTCTATTCAAACATCTATTAAATGAAAAATAATAAATATGAACTCTGACAGAAAAGATTAAATTATTGTAACGAGGCTGAGACTCGAACATTGTGGTTTGGTCAGCTTTTTAAAATCTTGGATAAACACCTAGATGGTCAATGTCAGCATGGTGATATAGAGTGGCTTGGGATTGTTATACCCCAGTTCTTTTATTGGACAGATCTGAATAACGAAGGGGTCCGGCTTTCTGCATTTTAGTGCTATTTATTTTTAAAGCCACAAATAAAGATTACAGAACACAACCCGGGTTGTTCATTCCTCCAGAGACACACACACACTCTGGCTGCAGGGGAGAGGAGCTCCCAGAAACACAGAGCCTAATACATATTTTAGGTTTGGGCCACCCCCTTACACAGATGCAGTCAGTCCAGCAGACTCCATCTCTTATCTAGAGCTCCACAGGCTTGGAGCAGCTGCGTGTTACCTAGTCATAACAAAATGAGGAGGCTTAATGTTTGCGTATGTTGTCATGTGATGTGTAGCTAAGACATTCACTTATTTATTCAAACATAGTATTCCAACACAAGATTAATACAAGAAAACAATTAGTGTCATGGCTTACTGCTAGGGCAGCACGGTGGTTTGCGCTGTTGCCTCACAGTGAGAAGGTTCTGGGTTTGAGCCCTGGCCAACCTGGGGCCTTTCTGTGTGGAGTTTGCATGTGCTTGTGTGCGTTTTCTCTGGGTGCTCTGGCTTTCTCCCACAGTCCAAAGACATGTGGCATAGGTTGATTGGTGTCTCTAAAGTAGGGGTGTGTGTGTGGTTGTTTGTCTGTGTTAGCCCTGGGATGGACTGGTGACCTGTCCAGGGTGTACCCTGCAACTGGCTGGGATTGGCTCCTGTGACCCTGTTTGGGACTAAGCAGTTTAGAAACTGGATGGCTTACTGCTAACCTTGAAACAGAGCAGACTTAATTGCATTACTAACACATTAATGTCTAATAAGTTTCTGACTAATTTCTAACAGGATTGTTAGAAATTGTAACAAACTTATAAATGTATTAGGCTCTGTGTTTCTGTGAATTCCTCTTCTCCAGCAGTTTGTTTGAAGGAGGGAGCCACCTGGGTTGTCTCTTGTAATTTTATTTGTGGTTTTAAAATAAATCAACACTAAAATGAAGACGGACTCCTCCCTTTTCAGATATGTCCAATAAAAGAACTGGGGTATTACAGGATGTTATGTTTTCTTCTAATATTTATAGATGAGAAAGATAGCAGTTATTCAATGAACTTACATATTTGGGCATATCCTCTTTTTCTTTCAACTCTGCTTTTTCCAACTCATTGTGAGGGTAGTCTTAAAGTATTTACTTTCCACCAGACTGTAGAAAGAATTTAGATAAACAAGGTGTTCTGACACTGAAACCTCCAAGTTGCCCGTGATGCCGGCCCCTCTGCTCCAAACAAAATTTCGTTGTACGTGTCACAATGTTACAGTGGCAATAAAATAAAGCTTGTTCTTCTGTTCGGTCTTTTTTCTCCTGTAGAGGGCAGAATAAGCATCTGTAAAGCAATTTGTCAATTGCACAGAAGGGGTGCTAATGTAACAATCCTGGATGCCAACGCACTACAAATACCTAAAGAAGAAGAAGAAGAACTCACATGGTAGCTAACTGTTAAGGGAGAACGATTACGTTTGGAACAAAGTTTCTGGAGTACACTCATACTGGGGAATCTAGAGGTGAGCATATACAATGTAGCTGTTCTCTGCTTTATTTCAGATCAGATATGTTTGATTCATGCTGTTGTTAATTAAAGCAATAGCCACTTGAACCTTAGGTGGACTAACGTCACGTAGTTAGCTTGCTAACGTTAGCAACATAGTGACAAACCACGTCGGTTAACGCTTGGAGTGTCCGCTTTTCTCTTTCGTTAACAGCAACTCTGTAGAAAATGTCATCTGCTAAAGTGAAGATGCGGGAGAAGAAGATGAGAAACCAGCCTGCTAGTGTGCAGTATCCAGCTTCTCCCCTAAGTATGGAGAGCAGTGCACAGAACGGACAAGACGCCGCGGTTACTGGTACTCTATATTCTGTTTATCGGTCATTGTCTTCTCTTTCGGTCTGGCAGTGATGTGCCCATTGCCGCTCCTCACTTCTAGGTTACTTACTCTCCTCATTTCCCCTTGCTGCTTGCATGTCAGCGTTTCACACGGTCAGCAGATTTCAGCCTGCATTACATGTCTGTGAATTCATCATGTGTCGGAGGGTAGTTAGTTCAGCTTATCTAAACCTCCATAAGAAGACGGAGTTAACCGGAGGAAATACAAACGTGTGCCATATCCAGGGTTATATTAACTCACTTGGGGGCCCCAGAATTGAAATAAACAGTAGGTCCCTGGTTAGCGAAGCATTATCATGCTGTCCATCCATCTTCCTCCTCTTATCCTGTATTGCACATCGAGAGGAGCCAGCTGAGGTGGCTCGGGCATCTGTTTCGGATGCCTCCTGGGCGCCTTCCTAGGAGGATGTTCCGGGCATGTCCTACCACAGTAGTACAGTCTGTCGAACTTCAACATAAATTGTGTATTTGTTTTCAGTTCCACGTGTCACTAGTGGGTGGTGGATTGATAAATGTGGTCACTCAGTGTTAATAGGATACAGTAGTACTGAAGTGGGGATGCAGTGTTTCAGAAATTAGCAAGACTAGAATTTGTAGAAACTTAAAGATGGAGATTTTTGGTAGTAGGCTATAAAGTCTGTCAAACTGCTATTTCAGAATTTGAGAGGCAGGTTAACAGCGTTTACATGTGCTGAGCCTCCACTACAGCCCTGACTGTGGGGCACTCGGGTCTGATGATCGATTACTGTTCACAGTGAAGAAAGTTGAAGTTATAGTACTTAGGTTTCTTCTTGAATGTTAATTAGCCATGTGAAATTTCAATGCATATTGGGTGAACACCGGGTAAATGTGCCGTACAGCAGCCACGTTTAGGCCCTTACCTTTTACACTTGTAATTTTCTTTATTACCAAATCAACTTTAAACAGCCACAACAGAATTGCCTTAGAGATAACCACCCCTGAGGGTTTGGAGCATGGCCATCAAGCATTGGACAGGTTCTTTTTCCTACAATGGCCCAGAATGACAAGATGATCTTCCCAAAGGTGGAGGTGGTGGTCCATCATACATGCCTCCTAAAGAAGGGTCAAAGCCCCCTCAGCAACAGAGAGGATGGGTCCGTGGACATAAGAAAGGTGGTGGAGGCTACGCTAAGGAAATGCCCAAGTACATTTCTGGTAAGAACATTGTATCTCTACACAGATTCATACTGTACAGCATGGTGTGTATTTTCTGTAGGAGGCTTGTGAAAGGGATTCACTGCCTTGTGTGATTGCCCATCATTCATTTATAATACTGCAGGCCATAGAAAATGATTAGCTTAATGCATATACTGTATTTTTACACATTTTTATGTGGTGCAACTTCAGATTTTTTTTTCTGTCAAGTTTAATTTAACTGAGGATGGAAAAAGTCATGAAATTGAAGAAACGAGTCATGAAATTGCATATGCATGGTCACAGATTGCAGTCAGATCTATGATATTATTATTGAAAATTTCCCTTGCTTTCATCTCTACCCAGCTGGTGCTTTTGCTAGGGCTAGGGCAGCAGAGGTGAGCGCCATGCTAAAAGCTATCACCAAGACCACGAGTAGCTGCCACGTTTTCGGAGCCCTGCCCAAACACATGAGGAGACGGGCCATGAGCCACAACACCAAGCGGCTCCCTCGCCGACTGAGAGACGCGGCATACAGAATGGTAACATTCAGGACATGTTCACATTTAACATCTTAATGTCCCACTTATCACTTTCTCTCCTTCTGCGTGTCTCTGACATGATCAGTAGCATTTTTTTTCTTTCCTTCCCCCTCTAGCGGGAGAAGAGTCTCCAGGCCAAGAAGAAGGAACAGGCAAAGAGCAAGAGCCGCAAGGCGCGTCGGCGGCATGGAAACCTACTGCTGGAGTTTAACCGACGCCAGAGAAAGAATGTGTGGCTGGAGACACACATTTGGCATGCCAAGCGCTTCCACATGGTTAAAAAGTGGGGCTACTGCCTTGGGGATAGGCCCACATACAAATGTTACCGTTCCTGCTACAGAGCCATGAGCACCCATTGCTTGCTACAGGTAACTGCACAGAATGGGGAGTGTGTGTTTTGCTTAACTTTTACTTACCAAATTTAGGATTGTGATGTTGAGGCTTCCAATACCTGTAAAATCACCTTCATGCTTCTGTTCTCTCAGGACCTTTCATACTACTGCTGCATAGAGCTCCAGGGAGAAGAAGACAAGCTGCTGGCCTCTTTATCACAACTGACCAGCAAAGAGACTGGTGAGAAATATTCCCTAAGCCAGTGTTTTGGCTTTCTCTATTAACTCCTTAAAATATCAGGAGACTGTGCAGATTTTGCTCCATGGATCCTTCCTTTTTAATTTTTGAGGGTCAGATGGTAGATTGCATTTTAAACTTTGAAAATAAGTTGTTTTTTTTATTTTCTTTTATTAAATCACACAATCTGACAAGTTATCAGTACATATATACAGTCTAGTGTAATTTCTTTAGTTGTAAAATTATGCATGTTGCTGTGTGTTATCAGGTCCTACATTTGCTGCAGCACTGTGTGTATCAGGGCGACGACAGGGCAGTGTGGTGGTCTACAGAGCAGGACATTATCCCTCACAGCCCCTGGGCCCTGTCACCTTTCTTTGGAGAGTCCGTACACAGGGCTCAACACACAGACAGCTATGGATCTGGGCTCATCCCACTATTAAACAGGTATCAGGGGTTTAAGAGGTTCAACTGCTTGTTGCTATCTAATGCAAAAACTAGGTCTGTGTGTTGACTCTTCAACTTTCAAATTCAAAAGAGTGATAGGAACATATTTCTGAGCATTTAAAAATCAATGAAAGACCGGTGCATATGATGCAAGATTTAGATTGCGACCTATTTAAATGGACAGTATATAATGTCGGCCTGCCATATGGATTTGTCGGAGTAATGAGACAGGCAACACACTTGTATTCCTGTTGAAACAATGCTCTTATAGGCAATTTTGTCTTCTGAGACATGGTTATAGCCTAGTTTACCAACAAGCTTAAGCTTCTCCTGTCAGTTAACAACAACGCAGGTTGTTACTGTGAGTTTGATGTGTGCCAGCTTACATTAGCAAACTGTTCCTCTTATTTGTAATTTTTCATTGAAATGTTTTCCCAGCTCATTTTTGTTAGCTTCCTAGTCCTGTTTGGATGGATGCATGTAGGCAGAAACAGTCAGCAAACGGCTGTGTGTTGCACTTTAACAGAGATGGATAAACAAACTGGACTCGCATAACATTGCAAAACCAGCCACATGGTTGCGAGATGTACTTTTCTCTGTTAAAAGTAGACCACAATGTGTGAAAACACTTCTTATAAAGTACAAATCTCACCCTTTAAGTGGCTAGTACCAGTGGGGTTTGTCCTTTTCTCCTTGTTCTGGAGTTTACTAAATTGATCCAACCTTAATGTACATTAATGCATCGAACAATGTCACCCTTGAAGAATCAGCAGTATGGATGGATGGAAAAACAAAGGCTTGATTAGAAGCGTCTCAGTTGACTGAGAGGTCTTTCGACTAATGACTCAACTATTCGACTGTTAGGGGCAGTCCTAGCAAAAGCCTGTTATTGAAATTAGAAACATCAGCATTTAGTATTCTGACAAAAAAATTGTAAGCTTTGTACTGACATGACATGAGTCAATAGAAAGACTGGGTCAGCGCAAGTGTTAATCCTAGATACTGTGCGCTCCTTGCAGGATCTTGTTTCCGAGTTACAAACTGTGTGCCAGTGTTGTGAGGCTGTGGTGACCCCTGCTCCGACCTCAGAACAAGAACTTGTGCCTGAAAAGACCCATGAAGCCATGCAGATCTCCCGGACCAAGAGAAAGCGGAGGTCCAAGGATGACCAAGGACCTCCTGCTAAGAAGATCCTGGGAGATGGGACCAGATCTCCCACCACCCCTGTCTCCTGGAAGTCCAGTTCAACTGGAATAGTTATAAAGTTAGTGTAGTTTACAGGTTTGATTGAGATAAAAATATGGCTTGGATGACCAGTTTTTGGTGCAAATCGTGGTCATTTTTGTTTTATTTGAAATGTTTGTATTTTATTCATGGACCTGTTGCAGCGATCTTACAATGGAGGTTGTATGCTATCGCCTGATTGGACCACAGTCCCATTCTGTTCTGGCTGAAACTTTGGAAGCTGCTACAGACTGTGATGTAAGGATTATGGTGTTATCAACATGAAAAGCAGAGAGCCTCTAAGGCACACTTTCATTTCACAGTAAAGAGCTATATTCTTTTCTCTTTCTGTTTTTAGGAAATTAATAAAACACAGCCATCCTGCTTTTGGTGGCCTGAGCACTGCAAAGACGAGGGCAAGATGAGTTTGCATCAACAACAAGCTGATGTCTTTCGCACACTGAAAGGTTTATTGTTCTTCTCAGTGTGAATATAGATATTGGCTTTGGTCTCTTAGTACTTAATCTTTCCATTTGGTATGCATGTTTGTCAAACCACAGCTCTATTTCATCCAGGCATCTATTCGACTGGAGAGCTCCCCTCGGGCACTGTGCTGGGTCTGACTGTAGATGACCCCAGACTGACTTTACCAACAAAGAAGGTTAAAGCTTTGCCCTGTGTAAAGCGGGCACAAGGTAAAATCTGACATGTCAGACAGAGAAACAATGGGTATTTTCTTTACAGATGCACATGGCTAGAAGGGACTGAAATTCATAGATTACTTCCCCAGACTTCAATCATTCAATTCAGTTGTTATCCCATCACACACACAGTTTCCAAATGTGGACGTAAGATGGGCCCAATATTCCTTTTCATACTGTATATGCCAGTAAAAGCCTGACTGTTAAATAAGGCATTCCTACAGTTGGGCACAGAATCAGTCTGTTGGTCAGGGCCTGAGGTAGTTTCCGTGAGTACACATCTGGTTCTGTGCTCCGGGAGGGCCTCTGCTTGGCCATGCAGATGTTCCAGGTTCGAATCCTGGCAGGACCCTGTACTCCAAACACCCTCAGCGACTGACAACAGCTGATTCACTGGTTGTGAGGGAATAATATAAAAATGATGAGGGATGCTTTCAACCCCTAGTTTTCACCATTATAATGATCAGTTCTACGGGAAGTGTTTTCAGTCCTGTCACTGCTTTTGGCATTTTGCACATTTCTAGTTAATAGGATTAGGGTAGATAAAATCCGCTCAGACCAATAATGCAAGATACAGTACTTTGCAGTGATACTGCCATTGGCATAATTGTGTGACACCCTTGTTTGCTTTGCTGGTTGTTAGTCCTTTGCTTTGTTGACATAATAGGGGTGTGTAGTGAGAAATGGGATTCATTTGCTTAAAATACTGGAACACTCTTATCCAAAATCTCAAATGAATTTAAAAGCAACCATGAGCTTATTCTTCAGGTCATGTCACATTGACAGGTAATCACCAGATTCCAGTTTAAACAATGACTTAAGCTCTGTCTTGTCCTCGATTGTTCTCTGGATGAGAAGGAGAACAGCAAAATGTGTCACTCGTATCAGGAGATGTACACAGGCAAATCTTGTGTGTTCCTTAACCTGAAAGGCTTTGCATACTCAGTAGCCAGTAATGCGTGTAAATTATGCCTTGGGGTAATTAGAGACCTGTTGCTAGAGGCAGGTTTACAAAGTTATGTTTTTATTTTGCTGAGTAAAACTGAGAACGGGTCGTTTCAAGGAGCTGCAATATCTTATCTGAAAGATAGAGGCCTGGACACCAAAAGCTTAATTTAGGCCAATGCCCATTGTGAAACCAAGTGAACATAGCTGGAGTTTTGCTATGCTGTACTTAAGGAGAGACCTTCATATGTAACTTAACTAGTGATGTTGGTCATTCAGGAGTGTGTCATGTTTGTGCTGTGTTTCTTCCAGAGGTGGATGAGGAGAAGAGGAGGGAGCTGATGCTGCGAGGAGTACCAGAACGTTACTGTCAGAGCTTCCTGTGGGAGCGGTCTGTACGAGACAACGTCACTGAGAACAAGATATCAGAGCAGGTAGCTTATTTTCTTATTACCAGAAATGTCATAAAATAATTGTCAGTAATAGTTTTCCTTTGCAGTGTAAGTTGTTTTTACGGTCTGTACTCAACTATCTTTACACTTTCTTCTACATCTTCTGTGAACATTTCTGAAAGCACAGATGAGCATAGAAATCCATATAACTTGTAGTATTTCATGTATATGGCCACAGGAGTTGAACCGTATGAGGAGCGAAGTGCTGGTGCCCGGCTCCAGGCTGAGCCCCACTCCCCTGCAGGGCCGAGTCCCCATCTTGTTGGTTCACCACCCTGGAAAGCAGGTGGGACATGAGATGAGCTCATGGGGTGCTGGATGGGACCTGCTGCTTCCTAAAGGCTGGGGCATGGCCTTCTGGGTCCCACTGGTAGGTAGCGTGGACAGTGCTTTTATTTGAGTTCTTTGACTTAATAATCTTTTATCAGGACATATTGGTTTTAGAACTATTTTTTCTCTGTAGTAGCAGGAGGAATAGAAGCAATAAGCCTAGGTTAACTTTGGACATTTAATTTTCATTTTGACAGGACCTTTTACCCTCCACATATTATAATACTTGCTGTTGTAGACATGAAGATATATTGGATAGACTGACACAGCCTACTTCGTACACCGGAAAAAGATGACAGGTGTCTGTACATTGACATTTGCTGACTTCCCAAAAATGTATGGATTCATTGTCAATAGGATTTCATTTTCCTTTTGCATCTTGGGTCATTCTAATGTCAAAACAGATCAAATGAAGTCATGGGTAAAATTGATTTCAACAAAACAAAAAAATGTTGTACTTCCACAATGTTCACTTTGTAGTGTTTTTCTGTAAGGCTACATGCAATGAGTATGTAGTTTATACAGTGGATGTCATTATGAAAATATCTGAAATGTTTTCATTACCTGGGTGCCTCATCCTTATTTTGGAAAAGCACCATGAACATGATAATTGTGCCTTGACATTTAAAGGCAGACTGGAAGCCCACAGGTTCGTTTCATTTATCAAGTTGCTGAAAACCAAATGTTTAGCCCTTCCTCCCTCTATCAGGTGTACAGAGGAGTTCGCATTGGTGGGCTGAACATGAGCCTGAAACATTCTCAGAACAAAGGAACTCCCCACTTCCCTGATGATTACCCAGACTGCCCCGCAGGTGTTCGCTTTCAGGCGGAGCAGGAGGCTGAGCTCCTGGACAAATTCAGAAGGTCAGTTAAAGACTGAAGGAACCAAAATTCTAATGTTGTGATTATTATGAAAAACATGGTAAGAACTATTTTCTTCACTGTGGCCAGTGTGTGCAGCCAAAGCTTTTGTTTCTCTGGTATATAAATAACTACTGTAGTTCTGATTGAAAACAACCTTTGAGAACATGCCTAGAATAAAAGCCCTTTTAACTGATGGACATGTTTCTGTAGTTTATTTCTATTAACCATTAGCAAAAGTAAAATTCCCCCTTTGAACTATGAGGAAACATGTTTTCAGTTAAGTAAACAAAGCAAGGTGATATGAGACTATTGAAACTAAAGATGCTTTGTCATGGTCTGTTGCCGTATGAATGTACAACCATCTGCAAGGAAAAGATGAGAGTAAGTTGGGAGTTGGTCAGGGGATTAGATGTTTTGATACAGGGAAGAGCTCCGAAGCTGTTACCACAGTTAATTTCCATTTTGCAGCGCTTTCCCACCATGTAGATGATACGGTGATGAGGCTGCATGCTGCTCACCCCCTATTATCTGCTGCTCAGCAGTCATGACTTTTTAAATAAATTGGCAGGGTTGCCCCAACAATTTGACATATAGTAGGTTTGACCTTCTGACCTTTTCTGTAGGCGTCCGCCCGCCAAAAGGACCAATTACGTTAAACTCGGCTGTCTGGCTCCATTCCGTTGCCCATGGCAACAGCTGGCTGAGGAGTGGGAGCTCATCATGAAGGAAAGAGAGGAGAGGAAAGGTGGCAGCCAGACCCAAACCACAACAGCTGCTGACACAGTTACGGAGGAGATGACATTATATCCAGATATCACAGTAACAAAACCTCAAAGCCACTTCAATGTACTGAGGTAAAGGTTCTTTTTGTGATTTATACTTTAGATTTATTCTTTTTGTTGTTGTGTTGTACTTACAGTAAAACCCATATCAGTACAGTGTCTCCCCTAGGTTTGTAGCTTTGGGGAGTGGCAAACGGACACGCGTTATATTTTCCAAGGTCAGCTCTCTGTCCGCTGGTGGAAGTGTGCTCACTTGTGTGTGCACACGTGTCTGCGTGCGTGCGGCATGCATCGGGGTGGAACTCAGCCATGCGCAATACAGAGAGCAGAAGAGAATTTGTAAACGTGCGACCATGTAGAGAGAAGTGACTTGCTGTCATGTAAATAAGATGAAATAAGGCTATTTTGTTTGTTTAATAAAAGAACAAAGTATAGACCTGTTCTATAGGAAGGTAACTTTAGATGACTTCTGATGTGATCTGGCACTATATAGAAAATAAAATTACCTTGACCTTCAAGGTGAGGCAGGGTGCCCCCCTAGTATAATGGTAGCGGAAACATTGCAGTAGTGAATCAACAAACCCACTGCGGGTTTACAGTGAGGTCCTGTACATCTAAATCACACTTAATATTAATGTAACTGACTTTTAAATGTCCCTTGAGCAGAAATATGCACTGTTTCAGGGGCTTTGGGCTTCAATAATCACTTTTTTTCTTTATTAAGAAATCTGAATGCAGCATTGACAGGCTTAATGCATGGCACTTCTCCAGTCTACCCTCCTTTCATCATCATGTCTCTGATGAGTGTATAGTATAGTATATCCTGCCTTTAATTTGCTGCAATACATCACAGATTAGTAGTAGTAGTAGTAGTAGTAAAACATCACACAAGCTTGGGGAAAAGACTGAGTTTATGAGAAAAAAATTGGATTATATTCACCACCCATGGGATGCCTCCTTGTTTTCAGCACCAGGAATTAAATACAGTGGGTACAGAAAGTATTCAGACCCCCTTAAATTTTTCACTCTTTGTTATATTGCAGCCATATGCTAAAATCATTTAAGTTCATTTTTTTCCTCATTAATGTACACACAGCACCCCATATTGACAGAAAAACACAGAATTTTTGACATTTTTGCAGATTTATTAAAAAAGAAAAACTGAAATATCACATGGTCATAAGTATTCAGACCCTTCGCTGTGACACTCATATATTTAACTTAGGTGCTGCCCATTTTTTCTGATCATCCCTGAGATGGTTCTACACCTTCATTTGAGTCCAGCGGTGTTTGATTATACTGATTGGACGTGATTAGGAAAGCCACACACCTGTCTATACA